TCGAGGCTTTGCCATAATCACACACACACACACATTGACCTATCAGCCTTTTTTGTCTCCTTATTATTATTTTTTTAAACAAACTTTAGGAATAGAGGATACAATATTCTAGAAAAGCAGGTGTGTCATAAAAGCAATTTTCATCTTAGAGTGATTGTGGTTAAGTGAAGGGAATATTTTTCTGTTTAGACCTAAACAATAAGTAAGGCCCCAAGACATTGTTTGGAGTGTGGTGTTACTGGTTTCTTTGTGTTGGCATAACAGCAAGAAGAGAGAAAACGTCAGATTCGGAAGAAAATACATTCAGTTAAAATAGCAAAGTTTCGTCCTCCCATAATTAATTTGATCCAGCTTGTTATTTTTTGCTGGCTATTATTATTTTAGCTCTCTTACCAAAGTTTAAGTATGAATTTTCTATTTTGCCAAAAAGACTTTCTAACTCTAAAGCTATAGCAGAATCTGCAAAGTAAAAGCATATTTGGTACAGTACATAGTCTGAGATCCGGACGTCCGATATCCAGAATGATCTAAATCCAGACCTCAAAGCCACTAACAACCTTGTTTTCTTTGGCAGGGGGTATGCTTTACTCATGTGCATTTAATTTCTCCCCCCATAATAAAACGTGCAGAGAGTTCCGATTCTTAATTTCACTTCAGCACTAAATAAAATTCCTCGTTATCGAAGAAACAGCCATTTTAGGATAAATTGGTGGGATCAATAATTTGACTCCATGTCTGCGTATTTGCTGGACACATGTCTCAAACCAAAACATTCTATATAGAAACATTGTTGATTTTACATCAACTAATATTTTATATCCCTGACGCCAACCTGGCGAATCATTATTTATTATATTTGGCTTTCATCACAGCATATGTATCAGCACATTCCAACTTTTGTAATGGCTCATTCAGCAATGCCTAAACAATATTTTATGTTAGTAATTGAATAACGGAGAGTTGAACTTTTCTGTTGACATTAAGCTTGGCAATGGTTACAGATTGAAGTTAAATGCACTGAGAAATGTTGACGAAGAAATATTTCACAAAATTTTTTTTCGATATGCTAAAAGTAGATTTTGTTAATGATATTCATGGGCCAAAAGATTACATTTAGTGTTATTAAAATTAAGAATAACTGATTTGTTATTCACATAAACCCAGAACCGGTGTCAGAGCTCATACGACTGTTTTGGGTGGCAGAATTTAAGCAAGACAAAATTTTGGAATATAGAGAAGCACCCAGCAACAAAATTGAGGGATGACAAAATTTTTAGAATTTAGGGAAAACACTGGGATCCAAAATTTAGGGGCAACAAAACTTTAGAACTTAGTGATGTGCTTGTTAGCAGAATTTAGGACCCGCAGAGACTGCATCAGGCAGAAAGATATCTATCACTGGCCCTCGATAAACCTCAAGTATATGTGGGAATTTATTTATTCAGGATTCAGCGTGACTTAAGCAAGTGCAAGAAGTAGACGTAAGTATAATAAATAACTAAAATCATACAATTCAGGCTTAACTGTCACAGTGCTCGATAGAAGCAAGACAAAATTTAGAAAAAAACTTGTCTTTTGTCACCAGTCGATAACTGATACTGAAGCTGCTGAACTATTTGCAGATGAATTTATTGAACTCGCTAATAGTGAAAAGTTACCTCAACAAATTTACAACCTTGATGAAACTGGTCTTTTCTGGCAATATGTACTACGAAATACCTTGGCAAACTCTACAGAAAAGGCTCCAACTGGTGTCAAAGATTCCAAAATGAGACTAACAATTTTAGCATGTGCAAATGCTGCAGGAATGCATAAGTGTAAACGTTTCATAATCAGAAAAAATACATGACCTCGAACATTTAAAGGAGAAGAGATTTTCCCCATTATATGTATATCGTGCTAATAAAACAGCATGGATGACAGAAGCATTAATGAATGATTGGTTTGAAAATCATTTCATATTTGAGGCTCAGTAACATTTGTATTCATCTGGTTTACCTGATGATGCAAAAATTATTCTAATTGTAGACAACTGTACAGCTCATACTTCACTTAAAGTTTTAGTGAAAGATAATGTATCCATATTATTCTTTCCTCCAAATTGTATGTCTATCATTAAGCCTATAGATGTCGGAGTAGTGTGTGAGCTGAAATGCAAATATAAAGTAGCATTTTTAAAGTCCATGTTAAATAATGGCAAGTCTATTCAAGGATTTTTGAAATATTTTAGCATATAATCTGCTCTGTGGAGCATCGCAAGGTCGTGAGAGGATGGGTTTCCACATACTTTAAAAAATGCTTGCCATATTTCAAGGTGAGGCTGATGAAGATGATAGCCGCAAATTTGAAGATTTTTGGATATCGCAATCCAAAGCCAAAATTTTCCAATCAGTGAATTTTGTAATGGAACTTTGTAACTAAACAAGAAATTAGATCTATCTATAGAATTAAAGAGAAAGTATTAGTCCCAAAAAATGAAGCAACTTAAACAACTTACTTTAAAAGAAATGTTTAATAGCGTAATAAATATTAAGCTTTTTTTTTTTTTGAAAATATTGATACTCTTTAATTCATAAATGCTTCATTACTTCGTAAATTGTGATTTCATATTTTTAATTTTATAATTTCTACATACCATCTTAGTAGATTTAAAATGATGATCTACTAACCGGAAAAATCCCAAATCTGGGATCGTCAAAGTGCAGATGAGTCTGGATCTCGGATTTTGTTCTGTGTTTGCCTTTAACAATGGCCTTAATGCAGGAAAACAGCATTGATGCAATTCTGGCATAACCACTTGACCGGCAAAGCTTTATATATAGTGACACCTTTAAAAAAGTAAAGATGCATGTATCTTGAAATAAGTTCTGGAAAATAAGGCAGGATATATTAAATTATATGAATCCAGGTCTAAAGTACCAGGGCCATTTTGGCATTAAAATTTTTAAAAAATACCTCATTCTCATGATAGTCTTGGAAAATATTTTGTAGGAAAACTGTGCCAGTCAGAGGATTAAGAAAGCGTGCTTTCGAAGTTAGATAAAGCAATATCCAAGACAAAATTTTACAATTAATGGAACTCCTGAAAAAGTGAAGCGATAATAAATGATCGTATAACAGAAGTTTACATTGCAGTGACAGCACCTAAATAACAGTCACTTAACAACAAAATCTGTAGTATAGTATTAAATCCAGAAAATTTTGCTACCTGAAGTGAGGAAAGTGACATAGAGATTTTTGAGAATGAAAAGATTTCATTTGAAAAATCTATTCGGAAGTATTGACATTGCTATTGGACTTGAACAGTGGAACTTTTTAAGTGAACGAGAAATTATGTCTATCTATGAAATTAAAGAGAAAGTATTAACACAGACAAAAAAAAAAAAAAAAAAGTTTAAAAATTTTTTTATTGCAAGAAATGTTAAACTTTTGTAAATTTGTATTCCTTTTAAATTATAATTGGTACATTATTTCATGAGCAACTATTTTGTATTTTTAATGTCTACATGCCATCATACTAGATTTAAATGGAGTATCTAAAATTCCAGAACTGCCAACAACCTAACAAGTTCATATTTTTATTCTATATATAACCTTTACAAAATGTAGTATAGGACTGTCACATCTAATGAGCAATGATCGCTTATCTCATTTTACAAAATGATTTTGCTCCTGACGAAAAAGGATATATATTTTATCACCCTTAAAATCTGATAGAGTTTTATTCAAAATCTATGCCAAAAAAGGTTGCCATTTTGTCTAATTTTATAATTTACATTTCCGTGTTTCTCTCTCAATGTAATTACATTTTTGTATTTTTTCAATGAATTTCACAAATCTGTTTAACATATCACTAGCCTAATACCAAATGATCTTTGTTCTCTCTTTCCATTTTTTCTGTTACCTATGAATTGGCATACTATGTATTATGCTGCCATCTCTTAACTCTCCATAATTGTTTCAGTTTATTGAACAATTATAATACCATTTTTTTCTGTTAGCTGTGGATTGAACACACTATGTATTATTATGAGTCATTTCTGAACTCTGTTTAAGTGATTAATATTTTATCATTTTCAAACTATTCAATAACTGTTTTGAAAGCAAAGGAAGATTTTTCAGCTACTTCTATGAACTCCGAGTGCTAGCACTTTGGATTTTTAGTGCAGTACAAAGTCTAATCCTGACGTCAATTATCCGGAATGATCTATAATCTGGACCTCAAAGCCACAACTTTTTTTTTTTTTTTTGTATGCTTTACGCATCGCGTAATGCATTTACGCATGTGTGTTTAATGTTTAAATGTGCACGTTCAGCACAAGAAATGAAGCAACTTAAACAACTTACATTGAAAGAAATGTTTAATAAAGTAAACAAATAAATATTAAGCTTTTTTTTTGTAAATTTTGATACCCTTTAGATCATAATTGCTCTTTATTTCATAAATTACGGTTTCATATTTTTAATTGTATAATTTCTGCATGCCATCTTACCAGATTTAAATTGATGATCTATAATACGGAATCGCCGAAGTCCCAACGAGTCCAGATTACCGACTTTATACTGTACTTTGTGGTCTCTTTCAAAATTTTGATTCATGCATTTGTCATCCTTCTATTTACACAATAATTTCTCCAAACATTTATAATAATGCAGAAAGCAATAATAATTTCTGTTTTTAATAAAATAAAGTACGCCATGTATCTAGAAAACAAGCTAGAAAGTTTTTAAAGTTTCTGTTTCTTCGAGCTTTATTTACTTCATACTTGGGTATTATAACAATATCCTTTCTGTATTTCATATTTTTATATGAGATAACATCAGATATATTTTCTGTGTTATGATTTTTCCAATGTTGTTTTTAAATTATTATTTGCACATGAGTTGTGCAATTATAATCAGTAGTAGTATTTCAAGTGTCTTAGAGTATTATTTTTTTATAGAATATTGTTAATTGCCTATTTAAGTTTGCTTCATGTCTTAATTTCTCTTTTTTGAAGGTGCTTCCAGGTTAGGTTTCTCTCCAACAGATGCAAGAATTGTTTTAGAAAGTGATGGTACTGAAGTGGAAGATGATATTTATTTCCAAACTATTGATAGGGATACAATATTTCTAATTCTTTGTCCCGGAGAAAGGTGGCTTCCACCAGGAGTTGAAGCACTTAGAGCTGGTAAGAGTAAATTTTTAGTAATATTTTTAAAGTTTAATTATCTCTTTAGCATTTTTTATATTCCTGATTGTGTTTATAATTTCAGTTTTATATAATTCTTAGTAGTGTTTTGTACCAAATATTTATTCTTAATACAAAGTCTCATAAAGTCATTTCTAAAAAAAAAAAAAAAAAAAAAATTGTAAATATGGGTTTTGTGTGAATAAAATGCTGTGGCAAGAAATTAAAAAAATAATAATAATAAATTTAAAAAATTTTACTTAACTAGATTTTAGCCTTTTCCATGATTTAAAATACGAGTAGTTTAAAAAAAAAGTTACTTTTGTCTGTAGTGCTCGTGCAAACTGCAGATACTTTGATACAGTCTTCTTTTTTATTTATAACTGGATTACTCACGTTTTGAGTTTTAAAGTTTATAGTTTGACTGATTTCCTCTTTTTATACTGTATGTGAATAGTATGTGGACTAAAATTTTTATTATTTTTATTTGTGAAGGATATCTCAAATTTTAATTAAAATTTCTATTTATGGCAGCAATGTTTTATGATATAGGGATTAACTTCTGTTGTTTTAAATCTTATGTAGCTAAACTTTCTGTTTTACTTAACCATGTCACATAATAATAAAAAAGTACATTTGAAATGAATTTTCATTCTGCTTCTAATATATTGACATAAAATGTTTAAATTATCTGAAAAAGTAATAAAAACTGGCATCCAAGTATTAGAGACACTTTTAGCCAGTTTAAAATAATTCAATATATATTATAATGAAATTATAATTTCCAGTTATGATTAATTACGTATTCCCTCTTTTTTGTAAAGGAAGAAAAGAAATAATTTTCAAAATATAGTTACTTAGCTTTTCCTGCTTTTAGAAGTATAAAATATTTTTCAGTCTAGTATTTTCTCTTAAACTGTGACTGAGTGTTATTTTTTTCAATTATAAATCTAACATAAAATGTATGTATCTTTTCTTTCCCCCTTGCCTTTTTTAAACAAAAAATTATTTTCCTAAATTTAAAGTTCTAGAATGCATTTTAATAGTGAAGCTTTTCTTTAATTAAACTGTATAAAAAAGTAAGTTGTATGTTATATTTAGCTTATTATATTTTCAGTGATTAATTTTAATAAATATTTTCATTTGTTAAAAATTTGCTGTAATTTATTAATCCTAAATATATCATTAAGCTCTTTTTACATTATTCTTTTAAATTCCTAAGCTTAGAGTGTTCTACGGTAACAATAGTTTGTAAATACTATTATTATTTTACATTTAGAAAAAATATAAAACTAATTAGTTTATTAATATTTCAAAATTATTATTTGTGTAACTAACTTCTAGCTTTAACCTTTCATTTTTTTTTAATCCAAAGTAAAAATCTGGGTACTTTTCCATTTTGCCGGCGCAAGCGATAAAGACGCCAAAAATGGTACAACCGATGCCAAATGGAATATCCTTGCTGGTAACCTTTTATACCTCATTTTCAAAACAAGTCGAGCAATTTCTTATCAGATTGATTGTTTCTTTCAATACTTGCATACGATCATATACAATTTTTATCATATAGTTCAATTTTATGTCCTAAGGCCACTTGCGGTAATTAAGTCAGTTAGGGTGAAATCACACCACTCACCCGAAGGCAAAAATATAGAAAAGGCAAAGTCAAGGTTTAAATTCATACATTCTAATGAGAATGCAGTAACGAAGTAAAGCACTGCGGTTTTGCATAATTTCTGAGTAAGCTATTCATACGAATTGAAATCATTCTTGCACTTAAACTTGTATTCCAAATTAAGATTTAACTTGAAATTAATGTACATAATTACTGAGATAATTAGATTTTTGTAGCGTAGTTTATGCAAGATGAGATCATTTAGGGTTATGTGATATGAAACGGCGAATCAGGATGTTGTACCATGAAAGCATAGTAAATTCTTAAATTAATGCCTTTTTACAAATTTATTGTCTTTATTTGTAGTCTTTTTGCAACATTTTGAACGATATTAAAATGCTTATGCCTTCAAAATAAAAATTTCTTAACATTTGTTAATATTTTTTATGTGTACACTGTGTTGTCACCAATAAAGTGTGCTTGTCGAGATTTGCGCCGGCGAAGCAGAAAAGTAACAAAATCTGATATCATTAATTAAAAATAAGGTTTCTGGGGGGGAAAATATCAAAATAAAATTATGTGCTTTTCCTACATAAAGCAGGTAGTGGTTTAGCTGATAACCTTAGCATAAGTATGTATATATAGAGAGAGAGTTTTAAAATAACTTTAAAAGTTTTTATGATATATTTTTGGATGGTATTATATTTTTTCATGTATTTACATGCCTGCTCTTTATTTACTTGTGTTTTCTGAATTTGAATGATATTGCAAATTAGTTCCCAGCAATAATAATCATTTTATTTCTTTGCAAACGAATTTACATAAAAAAAGTTAATTTACTTTATATAAATGATATATTATATTGCATTTATATATGTATATATACATATATTACCAAAAATTATAATTTTCTAAGCAAAATAAATTCTCATAGTTCAGATATATTAGTAAATGTAATTGAAAAACCTTGCACATTTTTAAGAATCTGAAGGGAAACCTTATATTTCTCGGTTTGATATAACAGGCTTTTATATAAACAGCAACTTTTTAATTATGGCTATAAAAACATTTTTAAAACTTAACCATAATAGAAATATTTTTTTAAGTTTCAGACATTTCACGTGACATCCAATAAGTTGAGGGGAAAATTTCTCTTTTCGTACTAAATCAAAGAATTAAAAAAAATGTCTTCACAGAGAATTTTTATTTATTATTTTAAACATTAGTAGTACAAGCAACTTAATATGAGTATAGCTTAATATGAATTCAATACATGCAGTAAGAGTCTGTTACTTCAAAATAAACATAATCAATCACACACACAATAATTGTAATAGCCCTCCCTACATTTACGTTCATATCACTGCATGTAGGGGCTTACGGAATTTGAGCAAATTGGAGGACTCGACTATCATCTGTAGCAATGATACCTGTAACAATGTTACCATGGTTACAAGACAAGCCAGAAGGGTGAAAATGGCTATTCTAAAGTAACAGACTATAACATAGTTGAGTAAAATTTTATTCCACTTTATAAAGATAAACATGCATTCCTCCCCCCCATTACATAAAATTTTTTATTACTATTCTGCAGTATTAGACAGTGCTTCTAAAATCAAAAACTGATACTATTCTAAAAAGAAAAAACTCTAATGTAGCCAAATGACTTCCCATGGTTTCATATTTAAAATAGTAACAAGCATTAAGTAAAGTGTCATTCTTGTTAACCGTTTATAAACAAAATTTTAATTTAATGTTCTAATAAATAGGAAGGTCTGTTATGCAAAATTTTAGATTATATTTTATTAATTGTTAGCCATGAGTTAAAACTTTTTTTTTAATCTATATTAACATAAATAAACATTTGCCCCTTTATTTCTTTTTATTAAAAATTGTAATTTATTAAGCTGTTGAATAACATAATTTAATTGGCTTTTAATTAAAGAAAATTAAGTGTTTTATAATATATCTAAAGTATATACTTCAAAGTAATTTAATTTTCTTCTGTGTTATTTCTCTAATATAAACAAATCTATATTCAATTTGATCTGCACATATATGCCCATGATATTTAGATGTGAACAATGCTCATTAGTTTTTGGCATTACAGCTGACTATTGACAATCATGTATTAAGAAGTGAAAAGTTAAGCAATGAGTGTTTTCAAATCTGCTATTTGTTTTTGTGCCTCCTTGTCATCAACAGTGCAAGAAAATAACAAATGCTTTTTTTTTTTTTTTTTTTTTTTTTTTTTTTTTTTTTTATAACATACCTGCATTACAAGAGTTTTGAAGTTCTGCAAATGAAGTATTGTTATTTCATTATAAGTCATTCTCATCTCTGGCTTGGTATAAATAAATATTATGTCTACATATAATAAAAATAGCCGTAATATTTGCCACATTATTTTAGATTAAACTCTTACAGTGATTCTATATTTTTCCATGAAAATTTATTACGAGTTTCAAGTAAAGTTCCACTTCTGGTTTTTTCATATATGGTAAAAATCAATATTCTGTATGCATTGTATGTGCATATAAAAGTTTAAAATACCAAATTTGTGAAGTTTTAGAGTGTATCATAATATATTTTTTCACAAAAATCTGTTCAGAGCTGCAAGTAAAGTACCACTTCTGATTTATCAATTTTAGCCAAAATCTAATACGTTGTTCTCATCATTAGTATTAAAATTGGAAAGTTGCAAATTATATTTAATTTAATTTTCTCAAAAAACTGTTTTGGGCTTCAAGTAAAATACTAACTTCTGGTTGTCCAGTTATACTCCAGATTTAATCAACTCTTTATGTGACTTCAGAAAGCTTATATACAAAAAAACTGGAAGTTTTGTAAGTTTGATATAAGAGTTATTGAGGATAAAACAAAATCTTGTCACATATATAGACATCATTCTAAAAATAATAAAAACATTTTGTGGGAATCCAATTCATGCTTATTTACTGAAAACTCGCTATCGAATTTTTGGACCGAAAACATTATCCCCCTTATCTATTTATATATATTTTGGACCGAAAACATTACCCCCCTTATCTATTTATTTGTTGGCGGGAAGTAAAAATTAGCATAATTAGAAAAGAAATTACCTTTACTTAATTAGATAATGAAAATTCAAAAAACTTGCTCAGTTCCTTTTAGAACAGTAAGGCATGACTGATCTTTCTTTAGAAGAATAGCATGCATATGAGAAAAGAGAGATAAGGTGTGTAAACAAGGGAATTTAATATTAGGCAAAAAAACAAATAAGTTTTAAAATTTTTTTCTGAGGAATTTAATATGCATCAAAGTATAGTATCTGTCATATGGGTGAAGCTGTGTAAAGTTGTCTGAATGAGAAATATTTCTACGAGTAGATTTGCTGCAATGCTTC